CCATTCAAAGGAGCTGCCGCTGTGAAGTCCCGAGCACATGGCCTTCCTGGGCACAGCGCTCCTCCTTCCTGGTTCTGAGGTTTGTCCCCATTTCCTGGGCCCCTAATGGAGGACAGGGAGGCCTGGCGTGCTGCGGCCCACAGGGTCGCAAAGGGCCAGACACACTTAGCACTTGAACAGCAGCGCCAACAGCCTGGGTCCCTGTCCCCCCGTGGTGCAGACTTGGCCTCACTCACCCGAACTCCTCCTTCTCGGCCCATCTGCCTGCCTCCCACCATCCCCATTCTGGTCTGACCTCTCCAGTCTCTGGGTAGCTCAGTCTAGATTCCAAACCTGACAGGCTCATCCCTCACCACTGGCTTCCCACGCCCTGGGGATGACACCCAGGTTCCTTACTAGGGCCCTTGAGTCTACCTGCTCCCCACTCTCTCACTCCTGACCTTTCAACCTTATTTATCTCACCGCCCCCAGTTCCCTACTTTCCAGGCACTCTGCTCCCCACCCCAGCCAAACTGGACAATTTCCAGGCAAGCAAGAGTGCCACATTCTCCTTTAGGAAAGGAACTGCATGTCCTGTTACTTTATGTAGCTTGGACAACACCTTCCTCCTCAGCCACTGCCTCCCCCAACTTAACAAACTCCTACTCATCTCCTGAGACCCAGCTAAGGTGTCACCTCCTCCAGGAAGCCTTTCCTGATTTTCCAGACTAGGTTATACATTCCCACAAAGCACCATGCCTGTCTCCAGCTCTACACACAACCCACTGGGTTATACACATCTGCTAATGTGTCTCCGCCACCATTCAGGAAACTTCCCAAAGGCAAGGAGCCATCTCTGTGCCCTAGACCTAGCACACAGTAAGTGCTAAGTAGACCTTGGATACATAATCATGGGCTGGTCATTTAACCTTCTAATCTGTAAAACAGATTATTTAACGTTTATTCAGCAATTGTTTATGGAGATCATACTATGTGCTAGGCTTGAATCTAGCCCTGCATTCACAGCTGAGAACAAATCCAACAAAGCTCTCCTGCAGCTGACATCCTGCAGAGGGTGACAGACAAGACGTAAGAATAATAAGCACAGGGTTTAGAAGGTCGTGTGGCGACAATGAAAATAAAACAGGAGGAGGGCAAAGTAGATATGTTAAATAGTTTCATAAAAGTCTTCCCTGGGAACATGACAGTTTAGTAAAGTCCTAGTGGAGGTAGGGAACGAGCAAGGCGGTATCTTGAAAGAAAGTGAAGTTGCTCAGTCGTGTCTGATGACTCTTTGTGACCCCATAGACTGTAGCCCACCAGGCTCCTCCATCCATGGGATTTTCCAGGCAAGAGTACTGGAGTGGGTTGCCATTTCCTTCTCCATGGGAATCATCCCCACCCAGGGATTGAACCCGGGTCTACCCGCATTGCAGGCAGACACTTTGCCATCTGAGCCACTAGGGAAATCGTATCTTGGAGGCAGTATCTTGGAGAAGTGCAATCTCTGCAGCCAGAAAAACACCTGCAAAGGCCCTGAGGTGGGAACGTGCCTGCTGAGAACCAGGGCAGACAAGTTGCAGAAGGAGAGTAGGGAGAAAGTGCAGGACCGAGGCGATGAACCTCGTATTCGGAGTTTGATGGGAAATCGGTCCAAGCGGTCGAAGAGCGTGACCTGGTTGCCAGAGAAGTGGAGGGCAGACATGGAAGAATTCAGTGCCAGCCTGGCACAAAGAAATCACTCGACAGGCATTGGCTATGGGTCATCAGCCTGGTTATTAAGGCGTGAATGTTACCGGGTTCTGATGTCACTTCCCAGGAAGTCCTGCCAGCTTCTCTTGAAGGAGCTCTTGGCCCTCAGAGCGGGTTTCTCTGAAGGACAAACAACTATATTTTGAGCAGAAAACACCAAAGTCTTTCCTCCTCCTGCAAAGACTGCAGGTAACTGGGGCTGGCTGGGGAGGACTCAGCCTTGCCAAGAGCCCCGGCAGACGGAATGCTAGGCAAGGGCCAGGAGCCCCGAGGGAGGTGTCTCCTGGGGCCATGCTGGTCAAGGGCAAGTGAGGCTCCTCTCGTGCTCGGAAGGCGGGGGTCGGAGGGGAGGAGGGGCCAGGGGTGAGGACAGCCAGGGGTCACCACCCTGCCCTCCTGCGCGTGCCAGGGCTGGGCTTCACCCAGCACAGAGGGTAAAGGCTCCCTAAAGGAGAATGGGGGAAAGGAAGAGAAGGAAAAGGAAGATGGAAGAGGGAGGGAAAGAAAGAAGGGGCTGCTCCCAGAGCAGGAAGCACATAGCAGTCTTATGGAGGAGATACAACCCCTTCCTGGGACGCTCCGATCTGATGGTGGAGGTCCACCACCACCACCATCATCATCACCACCACCATCACCACCACCACCACCATCACCATCACCATCATTACCACCACCATCACCACCACCACCACCACCATCACCATCACCATCCTCACCACCACCACCACCATCACCATCATCACCACCACCATCACCACCACCACCACCACCACCATCATCATCACCACCATCACCACCACCATCACCATCATCACCACCACTATCACCACCACCATCACCACCATCATCACCATCATCACCACCATCACCATCATCATCACCACCACCACCATCACCACCATCATCATCACCACCACCACCATCACCATCACCATCATCACCACCACCATCACCACCACCACCATCATCACCACCACCATCATCACCACCACCATCATCACCATCACCATCATCACCACCACCACCACCATCACCATCATCATCACCACCACCATCATCACCACCATCACCATCATCACCACCACCATCACCACCACCATCACCATCACCACCATCATCACCACCATCACCACCATCACCACCACCATCACCACCACCATCACCATCATCATCACCACCACCATCACCATCACCACCATCATCACCACCATCACCACCATCACCACCACCATCACCATCATCACCACCACCATCACCACCACCACCACCATCACCAGCACCACCACTATTATCTACCCTCCTTCCTGAATGTGTCCCAGGAGACTTCCAGAAGAGGAAAAATGTCCCTGAATGAACAGTCAAAATAAAATATCTTGAATGAACTCAAGGCCAAGAAGCAAACAAAGCAGAAATGGAAGGTAGCGGCTGGTTGCTGACTCCTGCAGAAGTTTCTCCTAAGGGGGCAATTGCAGTTTGTCTTTAAATTCCAAGGAGAACCGCGGGAGCAGAAGTTAAATGAGCCTCAGCCAAACCCAGAGTGATCTTGAACAGACTTGCAGCCAAGCTGTGTCTTCATAAGGCTTAGCTCTTTTTTTTTCCTAATTACGAAATTAAGACACACTCTTCCCAGAGTCCAAGAAATAGATAGCAAAGAAGTTGAGCTAGCTGACCTTTTCTCCCATCTTGACTTCACACGTTTTTACACTGTTGAATCACACCTCTCACATCCTTCCATTTATTCATGCCAGGTATGTTCTGGGCATAGGGTATCCTACAGCAAACAAGACAACAGACTCCTGTCCTCATGGAGCTGATGGGGAAACTGGCAAGAAGCTAGTAACTACATGCATCAGATGGGTCCAGCCAGTGATAAATGGAGTGAAGAAAATGAAATAGAGCGGCAGACAGAGTGACCGAGGGGTGTGGGGCAAGGTGATCAGGGAAAGCCCCTTTGGGGGGAGACTATTCGGGCTTCCCTGGCGGCTCAGATGGTAAAGAATCTGCCTGCAATGCAGGAGGCCCGGGTTAGATCCCTGGGTGGGGAAGATCCCCTGGAGACAGGAATGGCAACCCACTGCAGTATTCTTGCCTGGAAAATCCCACGGACCAAAGAGCCTGCTACGGTCCGTGGCAGGGTCACAGGGAGTCAGACACCCCTGAGCCCGGAGCAGGTGTGTGTGTACAACCACGGAAGGGCCGACCACCAGACCAATCCAGAGAAGGTGTTCCCGGAAGAGGGCACAGAAGGGACCACCTCCCAGGAGCTGCCTCTTGCTTGGCATCTTCAAGGAGCAGAAAGAATTTCGGGGCAGCTGGAAGCACGTCTCTGTGCTACAGAAAGCTCAGGATGAATTTCTGACACATCAAAGGGCTACCGGCCTGGAATGGGTGACCAGGGGACTTTGTCCTTGAGCAGACATGGGCATCCCACAGCCTGAATATATCCTAGAATCATAGCGTGAAGGAGACATTTAGAAACTGCTTTCCAGATTTTCAAATCAAGGTGAGCGTGCACATCGGTGTCCTGGCATGATGCTGGCTAACAGCTGCTGAAAGCTGCCTCTGGACCAGGTACTGTTTTAGCTTGATGAAACTCTCTTTTCATCTGCACAACAGCCCCGTAAGAGAGGTCAGTCTCCCATTTTACCAATGAGTAAATGGAGGCTCTGAGAAATATCTTGTCCTGGGAGGCCCGGAGGTTAAGTGGTGAGCCAGGATTCAAATCCAGGCCATCTGCTTCCTGAATCCACAGGGGACTATTAACCACTGCCTCCTTGGTGGGGCTGGGGGATTTAAAAATGATACTTGTTCCTGCAGCTCCTATTTTGTTTGATGATTTGGGAGAAAGATGCTAAGTAAATTAACTGATAAGCTCCCCAACACATTATTTTTGTACCAAAACAAACATGAGTTGATGACAGGAGTACAAGGCAAAACGAACGTGCTTTTATCATGGAAAACTCAAGACTTTGACAGAAATTGTTAGCTTCTTCTAACTGCCTGAGAGCAATGCTCCATTACACAGATGAGAAAGCTGAGGCCCAGCCCAGAGGGCAGAGGTGACCCATCCCTAGGGCTGTCTCCCATGCAGCAGGTTGGCCCCTGAGACCCCGAGACCCCATGACCATTGACCAGGCGACCTGAGAAGCTGTAGGAAGCTGGAAGGAAGACAGCAGGCCCAGTCCGCCTGCACTGACCGTTTGGATGGCCCCAGTAGTGCAGCCAGAACAGACCAGAGACACTAACATCAGCTTCTGCTGGCCAGCACCATGTGGGGTCTGATTGGGAAGACCGCACCCCAAGTCAGGGGCTCCGCACCTACGGTCATGCAGTCAACTCAGCCTGCCCACCCAGAGAGGAGCCATGCCAATGGCCCAGAGGAGAGCAGGCAGGCGCTGCGCCCAGCCACACCACCAGCCCAGGGACCCCTCCTCCTGTCCCACGCAGAGGAAAGGGCGCAACGCGGTGGTGAAAAGCACTGCGCAGGCCTGGCCTGGATCCGAGTCAGCACACAGACGGAGCAGAGAGGCGAGTGGACACGTGGGTGGGTTTCAAATACGGAGCCAGATATCATGATAGATAACTATCAGGGACCTATCAGAGAGGGGGAGGAGAGTGCGTATCCGTGTGCCAAGTCACTCGGTCGTGCCCGAGTCTTTGCGACGCATGGACCTCTGTCCATGGGATGCTCCAGGCAAGAATGCTGGAGTGGGTTGCCATTCCCTTCTCCACTGCGTATCCTTAGACATGTATTTATTTTTACATATCGCATAGTTCAGCATGCTTTCAGTATGCACAGATTACATGCGTTAGGTAGGTGGCTAAATGCCATGGTAGGCTAGAGTCAGTTCATACCAGCTAGAAGGAGACAATTAGACACATTTCTCCCTAATTCGGTTCAATGATAACATGTCGGTTACTTGAAATCAGTGTTAGCGGGAATGTTTACACCATAGAAATACACAAGTCAGGTCTTACTTTTTTTTCAGGGTTGATTTACCAGTACACCGCTCATTATACATGGTATTTGATGAGTCGGCTAACTGCACATATCTCAGACTATATATGTATGTGTGTGTGTATGTAGAACATATATATATATGTAAGTTATACATATAAATATATATACATGCATATACACACACATATATGTAAGGGAGATTTTATGTGCAAGTTAGATTATTTAACAGATAAAAGATAAATATATATATTGTATCAAATCTGTAATTTATACTTGGCTGAACCTTATGAAACTGCTGTTATTCAAGTCTTTTAGGTCTACCATAAAAAGGCAAATTCGTAAGGTTGTGAAAGAATGTATGCATGTATGAGTGTGATCGCTAGAAAGCACCCCAGACTGAGAGTTGGAGAGGAGACCCAGGGCCCAGGAGCTCCACCGCTCATGAGCTGTGTGACTCCAAGCAGATGGCTTGCCCTCTCTGAGCCTCTGTTTCCTCGCTGGAAATGTGAAGGCACTGGGACCCCGTTCCAGAGCCGCTGAGGGGGCTGTGGGCGGGGAGCGTCCAGAGCTCAGTCCGGGAAAGGCCTCCAAGGGGCCCTCAGGCCGGAACCAGACCCACCAGCGCACCCCCACTTCCTGTCAGCTCTGAGCATCCCTGGACCCCACTCCAGAGGACCCCTCTGCCTGCAGAAGCAGACTCTCCCACGAGGAAAGAAGCACCTTTCCTGACCCCATCACTCCCCCATGCCTCCCAGCTCAAGAGTGACGTGGCGCCAGCTGACGGATGTCGCGGGCCGGCGCCTCGCCGGAGCCTGGCTCTGCTGTGACCTCCCTGGACCATCAGTCAACAGAGCAGTGACCAGCACTTATCCCCGAGAGAATCCATCATCAGTCCCCTGCTCACCCGTCTCCTTCCAGCAAACTCCCTTGGGAGAAGGGCCGGGGGAGCCATTCCGCAGGGAGAGTCAGCATGGACACGGAGGCTTTCCGTGGGGAAAGTCAGTGTCGACACGGGAGCCTTTCCACGGAGAGAGTCAGTGTGGACCCGGGAGCCTTTCTGCGGGAGAGTCAGGGTGGACACGGGAGCCTTTCTGCGGGAGAGTCAGCGTGTACACGGGAGCCTTTCTACGGGGAGAGTCAGTGTGGACACGGGAGCCTTTCCACGGGGAGAGTCAGTGTGGACACGGGAGCCTTTCCACGGGGAGAGTCAGTGTGGACACGGGAGCCTTTCCACGGGAGAGTCAGTGAGGACCCTGGAGCCTTTCCACGGGAGAGTCAGTGTGGACCCTGGAGCCTTTCCACGGGGAGAGTCAGTGTGGACCCTGGAGCCTTTCCACGGGGAGAGTCAGTGTGGACACGGGAGCCTTTCCACGGGGAGAGTCAGTGTGGACACGGGAGCCTTTCCACAGGGAGAGTCAGTGTGGACACAGGAGCCTTTCCACGGGGAGAGTCAGTGTGGACACAGGAGCCTTTCCACAGGGAGAGTCAGTGTGGACACGGGAGCCTTTCCATGGGGAGAGTCAGTGTGGACACGGGAGCCTTTCCACAGGGAGAGTCAGTGTGGACACGGGAGCCTTTCCACAGGGAGAGTCAGTGTGGACACGGGAGCCTTTCCACAGGGAGAGTCAGTGTGGACACGGGAGCCTTTCCACGGGAGAGTCAGTGTGGACACGGGAGCCTTTCCACGGGAGAGTCAGTGTGGACACGGGAGCCTTTCCACGGGAGAGTCAGTGTGGACACGGGAGCCTTTCCACGGGAGAGTCAGTGTGGACCCTGGAGCCTTTCCACGGAGAGAGTCAGTGTGGACACGGGAGCCTTTCCACAGGGAGAGTCAGTGTGGACACGGGAGCCTTTCCACGGGGAGAGTCAGTGTGGACACGGGAGCCTTTCCACGGGGAGAGTCAGTGTGGACACGGGAGCCTTTCCACAGGGAGAGTCAGTGTGGACACAGGAGCCTTTCCACGGGGAGAGTCAGTGTGGACACAGGAGCCTTTCCACAGGGAGAGTCAGTGTGGACACGGGAGCCTTTCCACAGGGAGAGTCAGTGTGGACACGGGAGCCTTTCCACAGGGAGAGTCAGTGTGGACCCTGGAGCCTTTCTACGGGGAGAGTCAGTGTGGACACGGGAGCCTTTCCACGGGGGGAGTCAGTGTGGACACGGGAGCCTTTCCACGGGAGAGTCAGTGAGGACCCTGGAGCCTTTCCACGGGAGAGTCAGTGTGGACCCTGGAGCCTTTCCACGGGGAGAGTCAGTGTGGACACGGGAGCCTTTCCACGGGGAGAGTCAGTGTGGACACGGGAGCCTTTCCACGGGGAGAGTCAGTGTGGACACGGGAGCCTTTCGACGGGAGAGTCAGTGAGGACCCTGGAGCCTTTCCACGGGAGAGTCAGTGTGGACCCTGGAGCCTTTCCACGGGGAGAGTCAGTGTGGACACGGGAGCCTTTCCACAGGGAGAGTCAGTGTGGACACGGGAGCCTTTCTGCGGGAGAGTCAGTGTGGACACGGGATCCTTTCCACACGGAGAGTCAGTGTGGAACCGGGAGCCTTTCTGCGGGAGAGTCAGTGTGGACACGGGAGCCTTTCCACAGGGAGAGTCAGTGTGGACACGGGAGCCTTTCCACGGGGAGAGTCAGTGTGGACACGGGAGCCTTTCCACGGGAGAGTCAGTGAGGACCCTGGAGCCTTTCCACGGGAGAGTCAGTGTGGACCCTGGAGCCTTTCCACGGGGAGAGTCAGTGTGGACACGGGAGCCTTTCCACGGGGAGAGTCAGTGTGGACACGGGAGCCTTTCCACAGGGAGAGTCAGTGTGGACATGGGAGCCTTTCCACGGGAGAGTCAGTGAGGACCCTGGAGCCTTTCCACGGGAGAGTCAGTGTGGACCCTGGAGCCTTTCCACGGGGAGAGTCAGTGTGGACACAGGAGCCTTTCCACGGGGAGAGTCAGTGTGGGCACAGGAGCCTTTCCACAGGGAGAGTCAGTGTGGACCCTGGAGCCTTTCCACGGGATAGTCAGTGTGGACCCTGGAGCCTTTCCACGGGGAGAGTCAGTGTGGACCCTGGAGCCTTTCCACGGGGAGAGTCAGTGTGGGCACAGGAGCCTTTCCACAGGGAGAGTCAGTGTGGACCCTGGAGCCTTTCCACGGGAGAGTCAGTGAGGACCCTGGAGCCTTTCCACGGGAGAGTCAGTGTGGACCCTGGAGCCTTTCCACGGGGAGAGTCAGTGTGGACACAGGAGCCTTTCCACGGGGACAGTCAGTGTGGACACGGGAGCCTTTCCACGGGAGAGTCAGTGTGGACCCTGGAGCCTTTCTGCGGGAGAGTCAGTGTGGACACAGGAGCCTTTCCACGGGAGAGTCAGTGTGGACACGGGAGCCTTTCCACGGGGAGAGTCAGTGTGGACACGGGAGCCTTTCCACAGGGAGAGTCAGCGTGGACACGGGAGCCTTTCCACGGGAGAGTCAGTGTGGACCCTGGAGCCTTTCTGCGGGAGAGTCAGTGTGGACACAGGAGCCTTTCCACGGGAGAGTCAGTGTGGACACGGGAGCCTTTCCACGGGGAGAGTCAGTGTGGACACGGGAGCCTTTCCACGGGGAGAGTCAGTGTGGACCCTGGAGCCTTTCCACGGGGAGAGTCAGTGTGGACACGGGAGCCTTTCCACAGGGAGAGTCAGTGTGGACCCTGGAGCCTTTCCACGGGATAGTCAGTGTGAACCCTGGAGCCTTTCCACGGAGAGAGTCAGCGTGGACACGGGAGCCTTTCCACAGGGAGAGTCAGTGTGGACACGGGAGCCTTTCTGCGGGAGAGTCAGTGTGGACACGGGATCCTTTCCACACGGAGAGTCAGTGTGGAACCGGGAGCCTTTCTGCGGGAGAGTCAGTGTGGACACGGGAGCCTTTCCACAGGGAGAGTCAGTGTGGACACGGGAGCCTTTCCACGGGGAGAGTCAGTGTGGACACGGGAGCCTTTCCACGGGAGAGTCAGTGAGGACCCTGGAGCCTTTCCACGGGAGAGTCAGTGTGGACCCTGGAGCCTTTCCACGGGGAGAGTCAGTGTGGACACGGGAGCCTTTCCACGGGGAGAGTCAGTGTGGACACGGGAGCCTTTCCACAGGGAGAGTCAGTGTGGACATGGGAGCCTTTCCACGGGAGAGTCAGTGAGGACCCTGGAGCCTTTCCACGGGAGAGTCAGTGTGGACCCTGGAGCCTTTCCACGGGGAGAGTCAGTGTGGACACAGGAGCCTTTCCACGGGGAGAGTCAGTGTGGGCACAGGAGCCTTTCCACAGGGAGAGTCAGTGTGGACCCTGGAGCCTTTCCACGGGATAGTCAGTGTGGACCCTGGAGCCTTTCCACGGGGAGAGTCAGTGTGGACCCTGGAGCCTTTCCACGGGGAGAGTCAGTGTGGGCACAGGAGCCTTTCCACAGGGAGAGTCAGTGTGGACCCTGGAGCCTTTCCACGGGAGAGTCAGTGAGGACCCTGGAGCCTTTCCACGGGAGAGTCAGTGTGGACCCTGGAGCCTTTCCACGGGGAGAGTCAGTGTGGACACAGGAGCCTTTCCACGGGGACAGTCAGTGTGGACACGGGAGCCTTTCCACGGGAGAGTCAGTGTGGACCCTGGAGCCTTTCTGCGGGAGAGTCAGTGTGGACACAGGAGCCTTT